TTTTTTTTTCAAAATAATAAAAATTACCAACCTGGTATAGAAGCTGAACTAGAACTCGAATGACCATCTAAATCTTCTGCAGCACAATTATCAAAATAATGAATTTAATTGCGTTTATTACGACATATCAATTAAAAAAAATTATTTTAAAAATTTAAAATTTAGTTTCGTGATAAACGCAGTGAACATATTAAAATTATATCAAAAATAAAAATATTATAAAAATTTTAAAGCAACATTCGTTATCGGCACAGTATATTTATATGAACATTTCTAATTTTTGGTAAACAAGCAAACTGCATCTAAGACGAAATGTAGACAAAAATATTTTCATACTATGAGATGATTAAAAATTATTGCATGTTTCTAGAAAAAAGAACTAAAATTTCATATAAGTCATGACGAAGGTTTAAATAAAAATAGACTTTTTAATGAATCTACAGAATATTTTTTATAACAATAATGTAGGAAAAATTTAGTTTGAAATAATATAAAATGTGACGTTAAAAAAGTATAAAAAAGAATGAAAATTTTAATAAAAGATTTAGGGATTCAATAGAATGTTTGTTTTCTAGAAACAAGATATCAATAAAATATTGAAAATGAAAACGAACTATAAAATATTATACGTTATTCCTTATAACTTCTACAATAATTTGAATGAAAATGATGATATGCTGCATAATTTGTATCTACTTTTCCAAAATTTGTTTTTCTAAGCACACCTCGTATAAAGCGATGATGAAAAATATCAACTAAACTAGATAATGTAAATCTTAAATGTTATATCATGAAAATATGTTATTGAATAAAAAACACACCCCATGCATCCACTAAAATATTGTTAAAATAGACATAATAACCGTGAATAATTATATATTATGGTGGATCTTAATATGAATATATTTGAATTTTTTTGCTTCCAGGGCTGAAACTCTTCCAAAATGATAAAAAAAAAATCTGAAAGTTTTAGCTCTTAATCCTTCAAGGTTATTATTGAAATAACAAAGAAAATTCCAGTTGTCTTTTTAGAATTTTATAACGTAGCGACAAGTGAATCAAAATTTTAAGAATAACATGGTATTCGCTTATTTATGAAATTTACAACAAAATGTTTATATATTTTATAAAATAAGTATTTTATTTGGAAGAAAAACTAAGAAATTTTGGTTAAAGTTAATATTAAGACTTAAAACTTTCAGAAATTGTTTTTTTTTGTCAATTTGGAAGCATCAGAGCCTCTGGGAGCAAAGAAATTCGAAAAAATCCATATTAAGGACCACCCTAATTATAAATGTATATATGTATATATATATATATATATATATATTTATAAGTAAAAACAATGATCATAAATCATAAGGAATTTTTTATAATAAAACTCTAAATAGTTTCTAGGTGAGTAGTTCCAAAACGTGTTATGTTTTTTATATGAACTTTCGTTAAAACTCCTGATTCAAAATCCTGAAATCTTATATTTATGTATTATTTATAATATTTGTGTATTTATGTATAGAATAATTAACTTTATAAAACCGATTATAAATTTTTACGTATTTTAAACTTTACCAGAAAAGAGACTACAAAAATATTCAACCAAGAATCAATTTTCATTGCATTATCAATAACATTCTTGATGATAGGTATAACCAGGGTTTGTCGGTTTTCAAAAACCGATTTTAAAAACCGTTTTTTTTGGCGAAAATTATGGAATTCGAAAACCGGTTTTTGGTGAAAATAGCCGGTTTTCACTGTATAAATGGAAAATGACAAATATAGCCAAATATAAAAGATAGATGAAAGCGTTTTGATTCTTAAAATTATATCGGTTCAATAGCATTTGATATCTTATCAGTCTGCAATGGTTTCCAGAAAGTTTTTATATATTTTAATTTAGATTTTTATACCAGTGTATATTAATTTAAATCAGTGTGACTTCTTCTTGAAGAAGTAACTTCCTCTACTCAAACTTAAAAAAAGAGTTTTGAACCCGAGAAGCCACATATTAAAGAACAAAAAACTTAGAATTATTATATAAGGCATCAAAAACAATCAAACATAATTTGGTCGCAAGTATAAGAGTATTTTCTATTTCAGAAAATTTTGTTAGAAACAATAAAGGACACGTCTAAGTAGCAATTCGATAGACGTTCTAAGTTTTTTTCATATTATTTTTATCATATTTTATTAAACAAAAAAATAATTAGAATGATTAGAAATAATTAATTAAAATTGCTCGGAACAGACAATACACGAGTTTAGCTTAATTGTTTTTAAAACTAAAATTGATATTAATAAGTATGTATCAAAATGTATCTAATTTTGTTTTAATGTGATGCATTTTTTTATTTAAAAATGTATTATTTTTATTCATTCGCAAACTTTCCTTTCACTATCATAAAAATATTTTTATTCTTATATGTGAAAATGATGCATGAATAACGAATAATTATTTTTAAAGTTACTTAATCCAGATAAACTATTATTTTTAGTTCTACTAATTAAAATTAAAATAATTTTGTTTACTATCCATAAAATTGAACAATAAATATATTCAGTAAAATGCTACTCTAAATCACACTAAATTTGTGGATAAATTACAGAATATTCGAGCAAAAATTTATTTTCTATATAAATTCGAAAACCCGTTAAAAACCGGTTTTTAAGTAAAATTAAAATTCGTAAACCGGTTTTCTGAAATGTCGGTTTTTGTATAACCCTAGTATCTATCCTTCTATCATTTTAACTCACCTCTCGTGTAGCCTTGTCCTCCCGGTACCTGCAGGAATTCCCTCGGGGCTGCCTGTGGTGCAGTTCCTGGTGCCTGAGTCAACGCCTTTTGCACCAGACCTGTCAGATTGGCGAGTTGGCGCTCCATGTGCTCCACGCGCATGCGATGCAACTCGTCACTGTGTCTAAGGAAAAAATTGAAATAAATAAATAAATGATAGTATTATTTTTTATTGTAACCATTTATCTAAAAGAAATCAAAGATCTATCTACAAAAAAAAACTAATCAAAAAATCCTGATAAAATTAAATATTTAAAATAGCATTTCGAACAATTGACTACGTTTAAAAAAAAGTCCCCTACTCAACTTACAGAATGTTTAAAAATCAAAGAACCCAATTTGTGAACTAAAATACCTTTACTAATTAATTAACAGGTTGGAAGTATATTATATTGACATAAAAATAAAAAAAACTTTTTTTTTATCTATTTACTGACCTGGGCGGATCATAGGGCTGCGCCGAAGGGGGCCTCGCCGAACTTCTGGGGCCCCCAGGGGGCAACTTGACGCCATACAACGAATAACCTTCATCAAGTAACGAAGGTTCTCTGTAATGCAAATGATACGATAAGTTATTTACATATTCTGTATAACCGCATAATGCTTTTCACATTATATTAATATATACTTATAATAGCACTAGGACTAGATTATATACAGGGTTCGTCATTTAACGCTTTTTTATAATTTTGTTCTAAAAATATATACGTCTTCATTTTCCTTTTTGACCAGTTTCTTTTTTAAATTACTTTCCATTTTAACCGGAAAGACTGTATTTTCAAATAAAAAAAATTGAGAAAATATTCAGTGGTTTTTTATAGGATTTTCAACAGCAAAAAGTTATTTGGCGAACCCTTTTATTAGAGAAGTAATAATTTTATGACTATAAATACATTTTTTGATAAATCATTTAAAAACTTATCGGTCACGAATTCTAAATCAAATTTTAAATGATAGAGACAGTTTTTCAAGTAATGTTCAAAATTTACCATAATTTTATAATAAGGTGAAAATATATAGTTTAGTAACTTTATTACTAATTATACAAATATAAGCAAATAATTATTTAATGATGTACCTAATATAAAATTTATAGGTTTTAATTAGCTGAAAATTTGAGAAACATTAAAATATAAATAAAATAAATATAAATAAAATAACAATATCAATAATTAATTTATAAAATATTAATTAATTCAATAATATAAGTTTTCTATCAAAATTATATGTCAAGGTTGATAAAACAACGTTTAATAATTTACATTTTTATTATTTAATTCCAAAAAAATATTTTTAGTATACTTTGAATAATTTTCCAATAGAAATCCAAAAACAGAAAATATAAATCATTAAAAAATTAGATAAGTGCTATTCAAAAATATCAGGTAAATCATTTCTTTTGCTAAATATTTATATTGACTTTCATCTATAATATATATATATACAAATATATATATATATATATATAATAATATATATACACGAGATATATATATATATATATATATATATACTCGTATATATGTATATATATATATATATATTTATATATATTATGTAAATTATAAAAGTATATGAATATAATTCAGAAAAAATACAAAAGAATTGATAAAAAGGATATTTTGCATGAGTGATCACAATTCTCAATATTCTTCGTTCAAACAAATATAAGTAGACGAAATTGTATTTAATGAAATAGGAATATTTCTATAGGAATATTTTCAAAGCTCTCATTTCTTTTATATAGGATTCACAAAAAATATATATGAAAATAAAAATGCTTATAATTGCATGAGATTGACCAAAAGTTCTATCGAAATAATTTTTGTTATGGATTTAGGTAAAGTATATCTAAATTTAATAGTTAATATCGCATAATGAAATGAATATATGAAGTTCTTATTAACAAACAAACTACAAAATAATTGTTTTAAAATTATGGAATGGTAAGAAATTTATTAAAAGTTTGTAGCTTTGTAATTTTGGCTTGAAAAACATATTACCCATTTTCTTGACAAACGCATCATTTTTATTCATATGCATAACAAATTAAAATTTCCATTTAATTTAGCCTTAAATTTTTAAAAATAAATAGGTTTTTATGAGGTAAATTTTATTTACTGATCAATATTGTTTTGTTCATGGGGTTATTAATATGTACCAATATGGGGTTCATATTGGTTCTGAATGTTAGGTTAATATTATTATTTTTTTTTTTTATTTAAATATATATTATTTTCATATCTCAGGCAGACAGAGGTGTTTTTTGACTATTTCATTAATATAATTTACCAATTTACAATTATGAAGTCAATTATGTTAAATATTATTAAATTATGTATTAGGTTTTAATGTAGGGTAAATGTAATTAACCAATATTGGCAAATGTTTGCAATACAAGTGACTAATATAGCGCCCACATAAAAATAATATCTAGTCACAATTTATTTCTACTGGGGGTGCTCTTAAAGCACAGTTTTTATTTATGATTGAAGAAGTAATAGATGTGTTTTTTATTGAATTATTATTAGAGAAAACTTACGTGACTTCTTCGTCTATAACAGGAGTTACAGTTCCTGCTCGGGTTCCGTACTGTGAATAATAGGGTTCCTCATAACCGCCACCTCTGGGTGCTCCACGTTCTGGAGAACTCATATAACCATCTGGAATAAAAGACATAGTTTAAAATAAACTTAAAAATCTATCATATAAAATCATAAAAATAATTTTAAACAGTCACTATATATTTAGTCTCTATGATTCAAAATTTTGACTAATTCAGAAGCATTGTCACTATTAGTAATTTTATACATTTTCTTAATATATAGTAATTTTTACACTTGTCCTGAAATGGAGAAGAGTAAAACTGCAGATTTCAAAAGATCACTTGAAAATGTGAAAATATGCTGAATATTGTCAAAAATTTTGAAAATCAACGTAATAAAATATATATATATATATTATTATATATATATATATATATAAAATTTTATACAAATATCAATAAAAATTAACGATGAAATCAAATATTTACCACAATGAAACAACTAAGAAAGTAATAAATTTTATGAATTATTCCAATCGCGAAAAGCAATTAAAAATGAAATTTATGTATTAGTGAATATTAAATTATGTAAGATCTGCTCGCTGCGATTTATGCTATAAAACATTTATATTTATGCTATTTTATATTTATATATAGTAATAAATATTATAAATTTTTTAAGCAGGTTGTCAAAGCAAATCACATGTTATGAAATATTTTAAAACTGATATGGTAATTATTATACGTTTTAGATTAATGTCATTTTAATTGATATGGTGTTTCCACGCGACTATATTATATTTTTCAAAACAAAGTTTTGCAATATACTATATATATGGTTGACAAAGTATTAAAGTATGTAGGCAAATTTAGGTAAATTTTAATGGTTAAGTAATGGTTAAACCTTATCTAGTTCAATATAATTTTTGTATTTCTACATAAATTAAAAATTGTCCATTTTAAGGAGACTTTTAGTAATTGTTTTTTTAATAATTTAGGAATGGTTTTCAATTGTGGCTGTGTGGTTGTGGTTGTAATTTTCTACTTGTGCAATAATGCTCTGAAGGATTTCAAGTAAAAATTAATATCACCGCTTGATATCAGGTTGACCAAAAAGCAGGATTTGAACTCGTAACCGATATAAAATTTACTATTAATAAGAGAAGGTGCTAATACTTAAAAAATCATTTTTTTAATAATCTGCTAATTTACAAATATAAAAAGATCAAATTTACTTAAAAGTTAGCAGAGTAAAGACTAGATGGTACCAGCTATAAAATATATTTATTATCATCATTTACTTAAATTTTAGTATAAATATTTTTTGACTTATATTAGAAAATTTAATTTTATTTGGTTAATACAAGTTAATATATTTTTGCTGCTATTTTTCAAGGTGAAGGATTTTAATTCCTTTAATTTATGCATTAGAAGATTAAAAAATATAATGCTAGCTGTATAAATATGATTTTTGTTATTTTCTACAGACTTAAGAAAACTAATTATAATAACTTAGAGGAACTAAATATATTTCATATTTTAGGTTTTATTTTATTTCCCAGCTAAGAGTCTTTGACACGCTCGATTTATCTCCTATGCAAAATAAAATTTAAACCAGTTTTCTTATTTGTTTGTTATTAATAATTCAAAGTGTAGCATATCAAATGAATTAAGTCAAAATGCCATTTATAACAGAGAATGTTTTGCGAACAAAACTGACTTTCATAAATTATTCACACCTCAACAGGTAAATGATGAAATATGTAGGTATATAAATTATCAGATAATCACAAATACACATTGAATAAATGAAGCAAATAAAATGCATAATTGTAATAGATAAAATTGAAATAAAAATGTAAAAATTATAAAATAGTATCTAATATAGATCAATATTTTTTTTCAAACAATTTCTCGTGTTTTTAAAGCCAAACATCCATTAATTAAGACTCAATCTATTAATTAAAATCATGAAGCACCATTTCCTATGATATCATGAAGCACTTTCCTAGGATATAAATCTAATTGGAATTTATTCAAATGCATATATCTATGATGCAGGAATAGAAAATATTTCCGGCTTTTAAGAGAAAAATTCAATTTTCTAGGAAATTCTTCGTTTTTGCAAAGCTCGTCCAGACAACTGTTTGCTTTTTCCACGAACAAAAATAAAAATATCATCGCACGGAGCTGCCGTCGTTTTTATTACATTTCTCATATATAATATGAGATCTGATGAAAAGAAAAATTATTGAAATTAAATTCTTTGTGATTAATTAGAAAATTTATGGCGTGGGAAAATAATTGAGTTTTTTTTAGCAAGTGCTGTATGAGTGAATCACTCGTTTATTGTCTCTAATTGCACTCTCTACATGTCACTATTTGTCTTTCACAATTTATAATCTACTCACACATATACATTATTTTTTGGTTACTCTATCCGTATGTCATGCTATAACATAGTTTTTTTCTCAAGATGGCAACCCAACGGTCAACCATTCTTAATTGTTTGTATAGACTAAATATCATAGAAATGTATATCTATTTAAGCCAATTTTTACTTCGAATCATATTTAATATCTTTATCATCAAGTGGAATTTTGATATCATACTGCTTGATATCTAGCTGACCGTGTTTGGTATCAAACCCGGAATTAGTTTAATGGTAGCTTATATTCAAAATCATGGAAGTATATAAAATTATATTTTATAACCAGATTTTCTTCACTATTTCTATCACCCAACACATTTCTTATTATTTTCTTTGCTAAAAGCAAAATCTTTTCCTTCCTATTTTTCCTATTTTCTACTAATAAAGATTTAATTGCAACGAGATCGTTTTCGTTTGTGCAAAAATGCAAGATAATAAAAAAAGATGCAAAAACAAGATGTGATGGAGAAATTTCCAATCGCAAAAGATGTCATGGTTATTTTTCTTTCGTTAAAGAGCGTGTAATTGAATTCTAATGAAGTTCTAAGAAATAATGTAGGAATATTTCACTA